AACATAAAGAGTGTTACATTTTTTACAGGGAGTTGTATATATGACACCGTTATCAGTGCAGGGACTATTCTTTATCAACAGTTTTTTCACCGTGTTCTCATAGGAAAAAACTGTTTTTACATCTAACAATTTTAACAAAGGTACAATGTGTTCAAGGGCTTTGTGTTATGGAAGGCCAAGAATATTTCTGGGAAGTATTTTATCATGTACATTGTTATCATAGTAATTATTTCTGAAAATATTGCACTTAAACCATTATCTGTCTTGTAAATCATTATATCCAAAAATGGTAGCTACCCATCCTCTTCAAACTCTGAAGTAAATATGATAGATGGCGCCTGTTCATTCAGTTTACCTAAAAATTCCTTTACATCTAAATCACAAGGCCAAATGCATAGAATGTCATCAGCATATCTATACCAGGGTATCGCTGTACTTGTTAGGCTAAACACAAATTTCTTCTCGAAAAATTTCATTTATAAATCTGACACACACACACACACACACGCACACACACACACATACACTTCTGCACATGCACACTCAACTTTATAAATTTAGCTCACCAAACAAGATAACACATTCAGCCCTCACTGAACAACCACCACGACAAGAAGTAGGTCATGTATAAGGGTCAGCAAGTAATTCAATCCTAGTCCTTGTGTTCTCTCTCTCTGGCTGTTGTGATATTTCTTTTTTTTTTTAATCATCCCACATTTATTTTGTGGTAAATTCAATTCCTGTTCTCTCCTTCATCCTCCCTTCCTTCATTTTCTATACCTCCCCCTTTTATTCTTTCTTTTCCACTTGTTCATCCTATCTCTCATCCCCTCCACCTCCTCCTTCTCTTCCTCCATTCCATTCTCCTCCTCCTCCACATCCTGTTCCTCCCCCTCCTCACGCTTCCTCCCCCACCCACACCCACACCTACCTTCTATACCCCCACAAGTGTATCGACCCGGGGCTTGACAAATGGTATTATGGATTACTCGCCTCACAGTTCAGCCGTTACAAGTACACGGTGTAGACCGTCCTCTACAAGTGGAGCCTGTAAGCTGGCCTGTACATGTAAACACTGTTGGCTGGCCTGTGTAAGTGAAGACTGTAGACTGGCCTGTACAAACGTAGATTGTTTGTAGGCCTGAACTGAATATGAATAGACTGTTTACAGTACTGTATATGCTGGTGTGTGCAGTAAAAGTAGATTTTTTAGACCATCCTGTAAATATAGAGACTGTAGGCTAACCTATACAAGTATAGACTGCAGGGTGGTCTTTATATGTTGAGACTGATGCTGGCCTGTGCTGTACATATATATACTGCAGGCTAGCCTGTACAATTATAGACTGCAGGCTGGCCTGTACAATTATAGACTGCAGGCTGGCCTGTACAATTATAGACTGCAGGCTGGCCTGTACAATTATAGACTGCAGGCTGGCCTATATATGTAGATACTATAAGGTGGACCGGACTGTAGAAGTAGAGGACACAGGCTTACTTGTACTAATATCTACTCTTGGTTGGACTGTAGGTTGGCATGGAGAGTGGCAGGCACACTTTATGAGATGTGTTACCGCTGTGTTTGTTTGCATCACTCTAAAACTCCAGGAATGGACCAAAGGAACCTCGCAATTGTAGTCAAACTAAAGATTCTAGATACGCATTACGCGGAATTGCTATATATCACAAAATACGCCAGCCATTGTACCAAGTGTAAGTGCAGGCGACTGCACAAAAGACATATAGGCTAACCTGTAGAGGTAAATGGGTCAAGCAGTCTTTACTACCACACCACCGTTTCCTCTGTCATTCTGCGATACTTAATTATAGAAAAAATACAATAAAAAGATGGGTAACAATAGTGCCAATGAAGCCTATAATATATCTGCTTATTCTTGCCGCTTCGCTTCTGTCTGGTAACTGTTCTTTAAGCTATAATCTGTATTTCATTTCGTGTTATAGGGAAATAAACTATCTTATCCATCTATCATGCCTGGTATTCCTATGGAACGAAGAGAGAGAGAGAGAGAGAGAGAGAGAGAGAGAGAGAGAGAGAGAGAGAGAGAGAGAGAGAGAGAGAGAGAAATATATATGTAAAAGAATGAAACATAAACATGTATGATATTTACCTAACAAGGGGAGGTGACGTGGCTGTGACAGTGTGTGACAGAAAAACTTTTATTCCTCAGTGATCAGTGTGACACATGTCTCTCTCTACAAATGTTTACTGACACATGTAGACTACACACACACACACACACACACCACGTCAGTGAAGTTGCCAAATCCTCCAGTTTCCGTCTCCACCTCCTCTGCCAACTCAAGTCCCTTGGAGCTCCTGCGCCCGAGCTCCTCAGTGTTTACTCAACATTCATGCTACCCAAGCTCACTTATGCCTCCCCTAGCTGATCTTCCTTCCTAAATGCCACACAACGTAAACACCTAGAAAAAGTGCAATAGAGGGCATGTAAGATTATTCTCTCCCCTTCCTACTACACATATAAAGAAGAGCTCAACACACTGACCCTCTTGGCTCTCACTGACCATCACTACGACCTCATCTGCAAATTTGGTGAGAAGCTTCTGCACCATCCTCGACACCGGCTCCTACTACCACCCGAGATCCCTCGTCCGAGAACTGCTGTTCGACACCACAACCGCATCCAGCTCATACGAGCACGAACTGATTGCTATAAGAACAGCCCAGTCCCAACCATTGTAAAAATTATCAATAACTTGTAATCAACCTGTGTATTCACTCCCAGTCAATCTTACTTTTTGCACTGTCACTATGTTGAAATGCCCTGTAGTTTGAGCTTCTCCCCACCTAGTTATTATATATCATATTTGTATCACTTATGTTACTTTTATATTATTTGTAAATCAAGAGACCCATTCCCCAATTCTGTAATTGTATATTTTCGGTCTTCCGGCTGCCATGCTCTTTCAATAAAGGAGGAGACTTGTAAGTGAAAGTGGGTCCAAGAGGCCTGTCGGTTATTTAAGAACCCTTGCACTAAGTCATGCTGAACTTACAGAGTGGCTGTTGAAGGTTATTTCCATGTAATATTGATAACATTCTATCTTCTTCTAATTGACAACCTGTTAAGAAATAGAAGCTAAGTAAACACCGGTGCTTGAGTAGTCAAAGTGTCTACATAACCCTCCCCCCCCCCCTCTCTCCCCAGTCATGACACCACTTCTAGTTCGGTTAGTACCAGTATCGTGACGTCATAACATAAATTATTTTAAAATAAAAAACTCGCAATCATCCAACAGGTCTCTCTAATTCAGCCACCATGACCCGTGAAATGATCAGACAAAAAACAAATCTAGGTAACTATTGCTGTTTGTGTGCAGGTAATTGATGGAGGATAACAGAACCGTGGAGACATAAAATCCAATTGAGCATTATTGGTAATGATTGGCCACAATAAAGCTAGAAAATACAGAAACCCACAAAACTGTTTATTCGCCGTTTACGGCCTGTACTGCGGTGTCTGTGTACTGCGGTGTCTGTGTACTGCGGTGTCTGTGTACTGTGGTGTCTGTGTACTGCGGTGTCTGTGTACTGCGGTGTCTGTGTGCAGGAGGTGTCTGTGTACTGCAGTGTCTGTGTACTGTGGTGTCTGTGCACTGCAGTGTCTGCACTGCGGTGTCTGTGGCCTGCAGTGTCTGTGTACTGGTGTCTGTGCTGTGGTGTGCTGTGTACTGCGGTGTCTGTGTACTGCGGTGTCTGTGTACTGCGGTGTCTGTGTACTGCAGTGTCTGTGTGCTGCAGTGTCTGGTACTGTGGTGTCTGTGTACTGCGGTGTCTGTGTACTGCAGGGGTCTGTGTGCTGCGGTGTCTGTGTGCTGTGTCTGGGTACTGTGTGGTGTCTGTGTACTGCAGGGGTCTGTGTGCTGCGGTGTCTGTGTACTGCAGTGTCTGTGTGCTGTGGTGTCTGTGTACTGCGGTGTCTGTGTGCTGCGGTGTCTGTGTACTGCAGTATCTGTGTACTGCAGTGTCCTGTGTACTGCGGTGTCTGTGTACTATGTAGGTGTCTGTACTGCGGTGTTTGTGTACTGCAGTGTCTCTGTGTACTGCAGTGTCTGTGTACTGCGGTGTCTGTGTACTGCAGTGTCTGTGTACTGTGGTGTCTGTGTACTGCGTGTCTGTGTACTGCGAGGTGTCTGTATTACTACGGTGTCTGTGTGCTACGTGTGTCACCTGTACTGCGGTGTCTGTGTGCTGCAGTGTCTGTGTACTGCAGTGTCTGTGGCTGCAGTGTCTGTGTGCCTGCGGTGTCTGTGTACTGTGGTGTCTGTGTACTGCGGTGTTTGTGTACTGCGGTGTCTGTGTACTGCAGTGTCTGTGTACTGCGGTGTCTGTGTGCTGCAGTGTCTGTGTACTGTGTGTCTGTGTGTACTGCGGTGTCTGTGTACTGCGGTGTCTGTGTACTGCAGTGTCTGTGTACTGCGGTGTCTGTGTGCTGCGGTGTCTGTGTGCTGCAGTGTCTGTGTACTGTGGTGTCTGTGTGCTGCGGTGTCTGTACTGCGGTGTCTGTGTGCTGCAGTGTCTGGGTACTCACGGTGTCTGGGTACCTCACGGTGTCTGTGTACTCACGGTGTCTGGGTACTGGGTGTCTGTGTACCGGTGTCTGGGTGCTGTGGTGTCTGTGTACTGCGGTGTCTGTGTACTGCGAGGTTTGTGTACTGCGTGTCTGTGTGTACTGCAGTGTCTGGTAATACTGTGGTGTCTGTGTACTGCGGTGTCTGTGTACTGTGGTGTCTATGTACTGCGGTGTCTGTGTACTGTGGTGTCTGTGTTACTGCAGTGTCTATTGTACTGCAGGGGTTTGTGTGTACTGCAGTGTCTGTGCATGCCACAGTGTCTGTGTGCTGTGGTGTCTGTGTGCTGCAGTGTCTGTGTGCTACCGTGTCTGTGCTACCCCGGTGTCTGGGTACTGTGGTGTCTGTACTGCAGGGTTTGTGTACTGCGGTGTCTGGGTACTGCGGTGTCAGGTACTCTTGGTGTCTGTGTACTGCGGTGTCTGGGTACTGCAGGGGTCTGTGTACTGCGGTGTCTGTGTGCCTGCCCAGTGTCCTGGGTACTGGTGTCTGGGTACTGCAGGGGTTGTGTGCTGCAGTGTCTGGGTACTGCGGGGTTTGTGTACTGCAGTGTCTGTGTGCTGCAGTGTCTGTATGCTGCAGTGTCTGTGTGCTGCAGGGTCCTGGGTACTGCGGTGTCTGGTACTGCAGTGTCTGTGTACTGCAGTGTCTGGGTACTGCGGTGTCTGGGTACTGCGGTGTCTGGGTACTGGGGTGTCTGCATGTACTGCAGTGTCTGGGTACTCGGTGTCTGTGTGCTGCAGGGGTCTGGGTGCTCGGGTGTCTGTGTGCTGCGGTGTCCATGTGCTGCAGTGTCTCTGTGTGCTCAAGGTCTGTGTACTGCAGTGTCTGTGTACTGCAGTGTCTGGAGTACTGCAGGGTCTGTGTGCTGCAGGGGTCTGTATGCTGCGGTGTGGGTGCTGCGGTGTCTGGGTACTGCCCAGGGGTCTGTGTACTGCAGTGTCTGTGCTGCGGTGTCTGGGTACTGCAGGGTCTGTGTGCTGCAGGGGTCTGTGTACTGCGGTGTCTGTGTACTGCGGTGTCTGTGTACTGCGGGGTCTGTGTACTGCGGTGTCTGTGTGCTGCGGTGTCCTGGGTACTGCAGGGGTCTGTGCAGGGTTTGTGTACTGCAGTGTCCTGTGTGCCTCGCAGTGTCCTGGGTACTGCGGTGTCTGTGTGCTGCAGGGTCTGTGTACTGCAGGGGTTTGTGTACTGCGGTGTCTGTGTACTGGGGGGTTTGTGTACTGCGGTGTGTCCTGGGTACTGCGGTGTCTGGGTACTCTTGGTCTGTGTGCTGCAGGGGTTTGTGTACTGCAGTGTCTGTGTACTGCGGTGTCTGTGTGCTGCAGGGGTTTGTGTGCTGCGGTGTCTGTGTACTGCAGGGGTTTGTACTGCAGGGTCTGTGTACTGCGGTGTCTGTGTACTGCAGTGTCTATGTACTGCAGGGGTTTGTGTACTGCGGTGTCTGGGTACTGCAGGGTTTGTGTACTGCGGTGTCTGTGTACTGTGGTGTCTGTGTACTGCGGTGTCTGTGTACCTGCAGGGGTCTGTGTGCTGCGGTGTCTGGGTACTGCAGGGGTTTAGTATGCTGCAGGGTCTGTGTACTGTGGTGTCTGTATGCTGCAGGGTCTGTGTACTGCAGTGGCTGGGTACTCACGGGGTTTGTGTACTGCAGTGTCTGGGTACTGCAGGGTCTGTATGCTGCAGTGTCTCTGTGTACTGCGGTGTCTGTGCTGCGGTGTCTGGGTACTGCGGTGTCTGGGTACTGCAGGTCTGTGTGCTGCAGTGTTTGTGTACTGCAGTGTCTGGGTACTGCGGTGTCTGGGTACTGCGGGGTTTGTACTCACGGTGTCTGTGTGCTAGGTGTCTGGGTACTGCGGGGTTTGTGTACTGCGGTGTCTGGTACTGCAGGTCTGTGTACTGCAGTGTCTGTATGCTGCAGTGTCTACTGGGTACTGCGGTGTCTGGAGTACTGCAGGGGTTTGTACTGCGGTGTCTGTGTGCACGGTGTCTGGGTACTGTGGTGTCTGTGTACTGCGGTGTCTGTGTGCTGGTGTCTGGGTACTGCGGCGTCCATGTCCCTCACGGTGTCTGTGTACTCGCGGTGTGGGTGCCTGGGGGTTTGTGTGCTGCAGTGTCTGTGTACTGCGGTGTCTGGGTACTGTGGTGTCTGTGCTGCGGTGTCTGTGCTGCGGTGTCTGTGTACTGCAGGGGTCTGTGTACTGCGGTGTCTGGGTACTGCGGTGTCTGGGTACTGCGGGGTTTGTGCTGCGGTGTCTGGGTACTGCGGTGTGTCTGGAATGCACTACGGGGTTTGTGTGCTGCGGTGTCTGGGTACTCTGCGGTGTCTGGGTACTCTGCGGTGTCTGGGTACTGCAGGGTTTGTGTCTGCAGTGTCTGTGTGCCTGCGGTGTCTGGGTACTGCGGGGTTTGTGTACTGCAGTGTCTGTGTACTCGCGGTGTCTGGGTACTGCAGGGGTTTGTGTACTGCAGGGAGGTGTCTGTGTACTGCGGTGTCTGGGTACTCACGGGGTTTGTGTACTGCGGTGTCTGTGTACTGCAGTGTCTGGAGTACTGCGGGGTTTTGTGTACTGCGGTGTCTCGCCTGGCCACTCGCGGTGTCTGGGTACTCTGCGGTGTCTGGAGTACTCGGGGTTTGTGTAGTGCGGTGTCTGTGTACTCTGCGGTGTCTGGGTGCCTGTATGGTGTCTGTGTACTGCGGTGTCTGTGTGCACTGCGGTGTCTGGGTACTCTTGAGGGTCTCTGTGTACTCACGGTGTCTGTGTACTGCGGTGTCTGGGTACTACGGGGTTTGTGTACTGCAGTGTCTGTGTACTGCGGTGTCTGGGTACTGTGGTGTCTGTGTACTGCAGTGTCTGTGTGCTGCAGTGTCTGGAGTACTGCAGGGGTCTATGTACTGCGGTGTCTGTGTACTGCAGTGTCTGGGCTCTGGTGTCTGGGTACTGCGGGGTTTGTGTACTGCAGTGTGTCTGTGTACTGCGGTGTCACCAGGTACTCTGGGGTTTGTGTACTCACGGTGTCTGGGTACTCGTGTCTGTGTACTGCGGGGTTTGTATGCTGCGGATGTCTGTGTACTGTGGTGTCTGTGTACTGCGGTGTCTGTGTACTGTGGTGTCTGTGTACTGCGGTGTCTGTGTACTGCGGGGTTTGTGTACTCGCAGTGTCTGTGTACTGCAGTGTCTCTGGGTACTCGCAGGGGGTTTGTGTGCCTCTGGGTGTCTGGAGTACTCTTGGTGTCTGTGTACTCGCGGGGTTGTACTGCGGTGTCTCTGTGTACTGCGGTGTCTGGGTACTCGGGGTTTGTGTACTGCGGTGTCTGTGGCACTCGTTGTCTGGGTACTGCGGTGTCTGTGTGCATGCAGGGTCTGTGTACTGCGGGGTTTTGTGTACTGCGGTGTCTGGGTACTGCGGTGTCTGTGCACGGTGTCTGTGTGCCTGCAGGGGTTTGTGTGCTCTTGTGTCTGGGTACTGCGGTGTCTGTGTACTCACGGTGTGTCTGTGTACTGCGGTGTCTGGGTACTCTTGGTGTCTGTTGCGGTGTCTGTGTACTGCAGTGTCTGTGTACTGCGGTATCTGTACTGCAGTGTCTAGGTACTGCAGTGTCTGGGTACTGCAGTGTCTGTATACTCTGTGTCTGTGTACTCGCAGTGTGTTACTCACGGTGTCTAGGTACTCACGGTGTCTGGGTACTCACGGTGTCTGTGTACTCGCAGTGTCTGTGTACTGCAGTGTCTGTATGCACTGCAGTGTCTGTGTACTGCGTGCAGGGGTCTGTGTACTGCAGGTCTGTGTGCACCGTGTCTGGGTGCCTCACCGGTGTCTGGGTACTCGTGTCTGGGTACTGCGGTGTCTGTGTACTGCAGTGTCTGGGTACTGCAGTGTCTGGGTACTGCAGGGTCTGTGTGCCTGCAGTGTCTGGTGCACTGCAGTGTCTGGGTACTGCAGTGTCTGGGTACTGCAGTGTCTGCGTGCTGCGTTGTCTGGAGGCTCGCGGTGTCTGTGTACTGCGGTGTCTGGGTACTGGGGTGTCTGTGTACTGCGGTGTCTGGAGTACTGCAGTGTCTGGGTGCTGCAGGGGTCTGTGTACTGCGGTGTCTGGGTACTGCGGTGTCTGGGTACTGCAGTGTCTGGGTACTCGCAGGGTCTGTGTACTGCGGTGTCTGTGTCTGCGGTGTCTGGGTACTCTGCGGTGTCTGGGTGCTGCAGTGTCTGGGTGCTGGGGTGTCTGGGTGCTGCGGTGTCTGTGTACTGCGGTGTCTGGGTACTGCGGTGTCTGGGTACTCGCGGTGTCTGGGTACCCTGCGTTGTCTGGAGTACTGCGGTGTCTGGGTACTGCGTTGTCTGGGTACTGCGGTGTCTGGAGTACTGCGGTGTCTGGGTACTGCGGTGTCACAGGTACTTTCACGGTGTCTGGGTACTCACGGTGTCTGGAGTACTCTTGGGGTCTGTGTACTGCAGTGTCTGGGTACTCTGCGGTGTCTAAGGTACTGCAGTGTCTGGGTACTGCGGGGTCTGTGTCCAATTTTATTGGTGGAAATATGGGAGTAACGTGAACCAATTAACCTTAAATAAATTTTTTTTTTAGATACAACCCCATAATGGCCAAATTTTCCTTTCTTAAGATAATGAAGACAGGCCTAAACTAGGTGTATTGGAGACCAATTTAACGTGAACTGCACCACACAACAACTCAAAATATGTGTTGTTGGGGCTTTTGACCTTTGACCCCATACATTATATATTATGAACAAATAAATATAAAATATAAAATAAACTGGGCATTGGATCAAAGTTCAAGCCTGGCATGTTTCGAATTGATTGATCCAGGACTGAACGAGTGACGATTAATTGTTAACGTATCAGAAAAAAATAAAAACACTGGAAAAGCAATATGTGTCACCATGAGGTGCGAGAACGAACCGGTACTGCCTAAACAAAACCAAGATAAATGTTATTTTTTCCACAGTAATGAAATAAACACAATTAAACAATTATTCCACATAAAACATTTGTTGTACTTTATTCAACAATACAATGCACCAACTATAAGTATTTGATCAACTCAGTGTCAGCTATATATATATATATATATATATATATATATATATATATATATATATATATATATATATATATATATATATATATATATATATATATATATATATATATATATATATATATATATATATATATATATATATATATATATATATATATATATATATATATATATATATATATATATAACTTTGTTTTGGTAGTATACTCCATAGGAAAATTGGTCTAATATCAGAAGCTAAAACGCTGAGTTATGGGAATATTGTCCGGTGGGCGAGGGGAGCGAGGCAAGATGTAAGTACAGGATTTATTTATCATTAACTTCTCAAGCATGGCGACGTTGATGAGCCAGCAGTGTTTTTGTTTTCTTTTTTTACATTAGTCTAATCTTCCACCATGGGAGACGATCTAGATAAAGTGCTCACCTCCTGTACTAGAGGGTCGATGAATCGCACTAAAGGCACACCTAATCCTCACTACTGTGATTGGGAGCCTAAATTTAAACTGGGAAAGCGAATACAATCAAGGTGTTGCCTGCCGCATTGCCTCCTTGTGTACAGTCAAAATGGTTATTATGCTTCCTGCATCTACACTGCCATTAAAAAAATGCTTCGTAACTACTACTGAATACACCTGCTCTAAACATACGATAGTGTTTACATTGTCATAGAGAAATAATGTTTCGTCTTAGGACTCATATTGTTGTTCCTATATTATATTGTAGATGAATTACAATATAAAATTACGATAATCATTTAACGAAGAACATGACAAGTACATGCATGAGAAACAAAACTTTTATATATTAATCTTTCCCCCTTTGAAAGCAAAACTATTTACCAATCCAATCTTGCCTGAAAAAAAGGTGATATTCTGGAAGGATTCGATAACTTATTAAGCTCTTGGAAGAATTAGTTCTGTTTGTCATTGTTTTGACCGTTTCAAAATACGTCTTTAAGATTTTAATCAGTCAGTTAGAGAACCGTCCTCATATCTGAGGGTTGGCGACCACAGTCCTCCACTTTGAACGTTCTCTGGCTGTTTTTATCAATTCTCTAAGCTGAATCTAAGGGTTTTTTTTATCTCTTTGGGGACCCAGTTTTTTATTTCAAATATCCATCCCAGTTTCTGCCTTCCCATCGCCCTCTTACCCTCAAATTTGCCCATTAATATCTCATCCCCAATTACACGACCAAAGTATTAAAACAAAATCTGGACATTTCATGTATTTCTCTTGAAGTTTCTATTAATCTTAGTAGTTCTTCATTAGCTTTTCTGTCAGTGTATCTTATTCTTAGCATTCGCCTATAACACCACATTTCAAAGGCCTCTAATCTCCTTCAGGTGTCTGCTGAAAGTCCTTACCTTTCAGCGACCTTTTTCTCGAATTGTAAAAGGAATGTAATAGTTCGTCAGGGACTGCACGTTCTTGTACTTTGAATGTGCGTCTGGTTAACCTCGGGCGAGTGACGTACCGGGTTTGGCAACGTGCGTACCTCCCTCTTATCCTCCCTCCACTTGGGTCACTCCCGGTCAGAGGAGGAGTGAGGGCTGCCACAAGCTACGCATTTCTTGGTGGTCGCCGAACATGTGGTGTGTTGGTGCCCGGTTGTCCCGCACGTGGAACAGACCTCCTTAGCCCGGCTCGTATTGGCTTGGCTTGATGCCCATAGCGCTGACATTTGCAGCACCTGGTGGGTCTTGGTGTGTATGGCTTCACTGGGACGGTGTCCAATCCCAATGTAACCGTCTCGGGCAATTTGTGTAAAAATTCAACCACAACTGAAGTGGATTTCCGTCTGGTCTAGAAGATTCAGAAGATTCATCGATTAAAAAAGCCTCCACAACGAGCAATTAATATCACAAAACAACAAAGAATCTTCAAGAATCAAACAATTAAGTCACACCTGCTCAGACAATGAAGCAGCCTTTCCCCAAAGAGACGACAACCAACAGTTGCTTACAGTGTAAAAGTAAGCAACCAGATTCTCCTCAGAGAGAGTAGACTAAACAGAAGTTCGTTAGGCAGCAGAATGGATCGGTCGACAACAGCTGACCTCAGATAGATTACAGATTGCCCACGAGGGGGCTAGTTTATTGGGCACCCCCTTACATCCTGTGCAAAGTGAAGCGCAGAAGCGTTTACAGTGCCCAACTGGGAAGCATACGGAGTTCATACTTGCTTTTATGACTCATGCATTAATGGCGTAATGGCTTGAAGGGTCATGGGTTTTGTCAGCAAGTTACATAAAGTGACAGAATGATGAGTGTGTGGAAATTCGGTACAATTCATCTGTTTATGGCAAAGTGTGGCAGGTCCCTAATAATGTCAAGTGCCAGGCCTGTCACTAGGAGGATATCTGGTCAGGAGGAAGAGGTGTTGGTAACGGCTGGGGACCTGTAGGAGGAGGTCATAGGGCAAATGAGGATGTGGTGAAAGAGGGTGTGAGAGTCGGTTGACCACAAAGTTTACAAACAGTGCGGCCAGGCTCAGGGATGACAATGTACTAGGCGTGGCGAAGTACAGTGGGGGTGGTGGAGGTGATATGGTGTGGTGGGGCAGGTACAGTAGGGGTGGAGGGAGGCACATAGGCATTGACATTGAGGGACATGCCTTTTAGTGTAATTGTGATGGTATGTGCGTCGACATGTCGGTGGGGTCCAGATAGCCCTGGTGGAGACAGCTCAGGCACAGGAGTGGGCGCGGCTTGCGGTAGGTGGAGGACAGGTTGAGGCACCAAGTGTCGTGAAGATGGGGCAGGACTTCGCTCGGGGGCAGCAGGACACACCAGGGCAGGCCCGGTAGGCACTACACCAGTAGTGAAGGCCGCCGGCGGTGGAGTAGGCAGTGAGCAGGGGACTCAGGGACTACCAGCTTGTGTCAAAACAGAAGAGAGGAGTGACTGGGTGGCAACAGATGGCAGGAGTAGGTGGGAGATGGTGGTACAGAGTGTCGCGAAGAGTTGTTCAATACGGTTGGTAAATTCTTGGAAGAGGGATATGATCTGCGTCATGCCACTGGCGGGGGGTTGTGGGGAGGCACCGGTGAACAAGGCCTGACAGCGTCAGAGTAGAGACAGGGAGGATGCCCAGTAGTAGTTGAGTTAGGAGACGGCCTGGACTGCTGTGTTTTAGCCAGGAGAGGCCAGGCAGAGGCAGGTGTTGTTGTAGAAGGCGTTGCTGGAGACAGAGGGGACACAGGGGGGTGTGGTCCGGAAGACTGGGGGGTGGGGCGTTGTGGTAGACTTGGCCTTCGGGGAGGCTTTTCCCCTGGGACAGACGGACGATTGGGGTATTGCCGTGAGTCAGCATTGTGCCGGCCGCCACAGTTACAACATCTGGGATTAATTACATAGCCCACCCCACCACTATTAAGGTGGGCTTTGATTTTCTGGGCACAGGCGGCGGAGTTGTGATTTCGTGAACAGAAGCGACATCTCGGACGATCACGTCGACAGCAGGCAGTGAAGTTGTAACCCCAATGAGAACAGAAAACACAAAATGCAGGCTCAGGATGATAGGCTTCTGCATACAGTTGGGGTAAGAGTGGGTGGGCATCCACAGTGGTTGGGCACTCCCCTCCCTTCCACTTGACAATGACAGCGGGTTGTGGAACTCTCCCCCGGTAATGGCGACGTATACTCAGTATACTAGAGTTAAAGTCACGCCCATCTTCGATGTCAGCGTATAAGGGGAAACGTTTCACTAGGATGTGGCAACATTCATCCGCGTCTACTGGGGGGGGGGGTGGGGCACCAGGACGACCCCGTCAAAGCCAACAGTACTAAGTGTTTCATAGAAGTCTGACACTTGATAAAGTTCCAGTACCCTCAGGACAGAACAAGTGATCAACACCTCGTGATCTCTGACTACACCTCAGTGTATGTGTGTGTGTGTGTGTATACACTATGATGTTGGTCAGGCCTCGAGAACTCTTACCTCAGCAAAAAGCTCTCATTTCTAGAGACTTTAGACCAGCGTAATTTAAAAACATACTGAAGACTTCAGACCAGAACACTTGAGATACATAGACTTCAGACACAGTAACTTTTGACCCGGGCTCTTCAAACCTCTGGGGTCAGAGACCTCATGATAGGAGATTTGCAATTCTCAGGCCTCAGGCTCGGAGAGTTCAACTCTCGAGACATCAAAGTAAAAAGACTTTAAGAATAGTGAATTCACTTAAGGAAACTTTTAGCCCGGAGATTTCGGACCCAATAAATCTGAATTAGAGACATCAGGATAGGAAGTTTTTAATTTCCTACTCACCCTTTGGTTTAACACCTTCTCTTCTCCTTTCCTGGACAAACTCACCTGAAGTGACATACGCACACAAAAATCAGTGTTTAAAATTCAGTATTTTTCATGGTGTAAGATTAACATGAAAAAGTCTGATTGTTTGATTACCTAAAACTGTTAAGATTTA